CTCTCCCCTACTCTAACTTACATATCAGATGTTAAGTTCTCAGCTACTGATCTAGTGAAGTGCCATGCCTGTCTACCTGGTGCCACACTTCCTTTCATGATAATGATCTAAAACTGTAAACAAGTCCCCAATTAAAATCTTTCTTCTATATGTTGCCTTTGTCATAGTATCTCTTCAACAGTAATAGAACGGTAACTAAGAAAGACATTCACTCTTTGTACTCAACAACCTACTTTCTGAGTGGTATCAGGAGTCCGTCCATCCCCCACCAGTTACGACAGTGGTCAAGGAGCCAGGATAACTGGCCCCAGATCTGGGGATGATGGTTATAATCCTACATGGACCGTCCTCTCTAATACACAGAGAGCCCCAAACTGAGTTCATTTTCCCTCAGTCTGGCACTGTTGTTCTTTCAAGCCCCTACTCCCACTATCAGTATCCTCTGAGAACTGGGAAATACTGTCCACAATTCAGACACATTACTCTGGAAAACCAGCCCAAATATGCTCCCCGTGCTGACTGGGAATGTGAAATTCTCCACCTGGGATTGGACAGTGGTAACACACGATGTCCTCTCCCCAGGCCCCCTCATCTCCCCAGGCCCCCTCATCTCCCCAGGACCCCAGGAGCCCTGATTCCTGACTTACCGTGGCAGTGACTCCCCATGAGGGTCCATCCCACTGAAGATCAGGATGCAGGGCAGGCCCTCCAACTCCAGGTAAGTCTGAGGCCTCCATTCCGCATCTTCAATTTTCTGCCACATCTGCAGATATGAGAGATGTGAGTGAATGTTCATACAGATCCAAGTATACCTTTGTGGGCTAAACGTGCTACGGTGAGATAGCTCAGCCATAAAAAGCTCCTGCTGACCCAAGTTCAGTCCCCCAGAACCCACTCAGTAGAAGGGAAAAACCAATTCTCAAAAGTTATATTCTGAAGTCTACATGCATCCTATGATGTGTGTGTACACACATACGTAAATAATAAACAAATGGATGTAAAATAAAACATGCTAGCCATAGACAGTCAGTTGTACAATCCACACTTAACACTGGCCACTTCCTAACCGCCTGGCTCGAGAACACTCTGATGTCCATCCACTAATTGGTGACCCTCACCATAATACAAAGGAAGAGCTTTGTTCTGCGTGTGTGTGGTGAGTCACTGTGTTTTCAGTTGGGGGAGCTTTGTTCTGTTCCCATCGACCTCCCGCAGCAGGAGCAGGATGGGTAAGAACATCTGGAAGACAGTGGGTGACCCAGTTGTCTCAGACATCTCTCTAGGGTTCTCTAGTGGTACTGACAGTACCTCCCCTTCATGGTTTCCACCTGCTTATTCTTTCAATCAATTCTCTCTACCATTTTACATCTTCTGTCACCTATGTATTTAATAAGAGCCTCCAGGGGACCTGGCACTGTGCTTGGTTTGAGTGACCAAGATCTGCCCTTCCTTCACCACTTGGATAGGAATAGAGACATTCCTCCAAGTGTGAAATAGGATGGCTTCCTAAAAAAGGAAAGGAAATTGAGCTGAATTCTGAAGGAATAAGCATCCGCTAAGGGAAAGGAAGAGAAAGGCACCTTCAGAAGAGAAAAATAGCATGCTTCCTATGCAGACTGATCCTGCAGCCTCTGATAGGGGACATAGGAAGCCTGGGGCTGAGAAGTGGGGAATCAGCAGAGGAGGTGGAGGGGTGGTCCCATCTCAAGGGTCTGCTGCCTCCATATCCCTCTTGCTGTCCTTTGGCGGCTCCTGCCAAAGCCCTCTGCTCCTGAGTACACCACCCACCTTGAGCTGCTTCACAAAGTGCTTGCCCACAGTGATGCTGGAGCTGGGGTGGCCCAGGATGATCTCAAAGTGTTCCTCCAGGGCCAACCGAGCCCGCACGTGGGCCAGTCGCTCGTAGGCCACAGCTGCCAGGGGTGAACAGGGCACACGCAGCAGGACCATGAGCCCATGGCCACAGGGGCACTGCTTCGGGGAGTTGAGGAGGTTCTGGGTGATCTCTAGGGTCTCCACTGATGTATGGTTCTTCATCTGCGGGAGGCCACTCACGGCCATCATGGCGGCCGCATAGTGCTGCACAAGAACAAAGGTCCTGATCACGGCACTGTGCAGGCGGGGGAACCTGCAAGGAACACAAAGAGACCATGCCCATGACCCCAGGGCTGGCCATGCTTGCCACCCAAGACGCAGGCAATTCCCAAGTTACAGACGCCATAGAAACCTGGAGGGCAGTGGTTCTCAACCATCCTAACACCGCAGCTCTTTAATACAGTTCCTCATGTGCTGGGGACCCCCAACCCAAAATTATTTTTATTACTACTTCATAACTGTAATTGTGCTGCCGGTATGAGTTGTAATGTAAATATCTGTGTATTCCAATGGTCTTAGGAGACCCCTGTGAAAGGGTTATTCGACCCCAAAGAGGTCCTGACCCACAGGGTGAGAATCACTGTTATAGGGGTTAGCTGCTGGGGACTTTAGAAACCAAAGAACGAATGCCTTTGGTTGTTTCTTTCCCCAAGCTGGGAGGCAAAAGCATAGGTTTGTCGTTGCTGCTCCTGCTCATGAACTTCCCAGCACTGGGCATGACATACATGCTTGCCTAGCTTGCCATTAGCTCAGACACCTTACCCTAGAAGTGGATATAATGGTCAATCTTGATTATCCACTTGAGAAGATTTAGAATCATCCTAGCGACACGGCACGTCTATGAGAGTGTTTTCCCCGAAGTTTAAGTGGCGGAGGAGAGCCATCCTGAATGTGGGTGGTGCTGTCTCACAGGCTGCTGTCACACTCAATAACAAGGCGGAGCCAGCTGCTTCACACTCCTCCCATGACTCCTCTGCCATGACGGGCTGTACCATCAAACGGTGAGCCAAAATAAACCCTTCCTTCCCTAGCGTGCTTTAGTCGGGTGTGTCATCACAGCACCGACAAAGGAAACTAGTACAGCAGGCCCACTAGAAATGGAAGAACACACAGCTGCCAAGTCCCCAGACTTGGGGACCACCCTAAAGGCTACCTGACCATATGTCTAACCTGACAGATGAATTACAGACCAGGACAGAGACAGAAAGGTCAAGAATCCTTTCCTTTGCTTCAGAAACTAATGCTACCACATTGTCCCTGCACAAGGGCACTGACTGTTCCCATGACTACATAGCAGTTCAAATTCCTGTGTCAGAAACAGACCCAAGGGAGATGGCTTAGTGGGTAAGATGCCTGTTGTGCAAGCATAAGGACCTGAGTTCAAATCTCAGCACCCACCAAAGCCAGATGCACAGCTGTAATCATAGTACTCCTATGAACATGAGAACTCCAGGAAGCTCACAGGTAAGCTAGCCTGAATATTTAGTGCAAACAAACAAGAGAGCACATCTCAAACAAGGCAGAAGGTATAAACAGACACCTGAGCTTGTTCTCTGGTCTCCAAACATGTGCACAGCACATCCATATCTGAATTAAGACACACCAGTGTGCAGAAAGAGAGAGAGAGGAGAGACAGAGAGAGAGAGAGAGAGAAAGAGAGAGAGAGAAAGAGAGAGACAGAGAGACAGAGAGACGGAGAGAGGGAGACCTAAGCAACACTGAAATAAACCAGGTCTCTGTCCATTACCACTGTGCTTCCCAAGAGAAACGGATGAACTAATGTCAAGTTTATCCATGATGCTCATGTGAATTCTTCTAGCTGGAGTAAGTCCTCAGGAGCCACACCATGGCCATACTACCCTGAGCATTCTAACAGGGCAGCTAGCTTGCTATCTACCATTACCAATAGCGCTTTCCCCAAACCCATGACATCACCCACTCCTCCAGTCCAAACTTCCTTTTCATGGCTCAGCAGCACCTCAGTGACTTTAGAGCTTATATACGCTGAAGAGAAAGCCTGAGAAAATGGTCATTGTGGTCTCAGGAAAGCCTAATCGGCCCTGGGATTTTGGCATGAAGAGTAACTGAGCAGCCCAGGGATTGTTTTGCTCTGACTTTGGTGCATTGGACAAACGATGCACAGAAATCACAAGAGTGATGTGGAAATGTCTTCTGCCTGAAGGACAAGTGGAGACTTCTGCTCCTGGCCAAGGTGAAGGGACAGGAATCAGCTTTGTTTCCTTCCTCCCAGAGCTTCTGAGATAGGGTCAGGAAGTGAGAGGCAGGCAAAGCTCAGTGGTCCACACAAGCTGGAGGGAGGCTTTAGAACACTGAGGCATCTCAGGTCACAGAGATCCACAAGAATGGCAGTGATAGGGCCACACACATAAGAAAACTACCCCCGGCCAAGGAAAGACTTACTGTTAAAAAAATTAGTTGAGGAAGAGACTGTATGTGTATATTCATGTTCATGTGGGTATGTGCACATGCACACAGGTCTATGTGCACATGTATGAACAAGCATGTGGAAGACATATGTCAACTTTGGATGAGTCAACAACACTCCACCTTATTATTTTAGATAGGATCACCAGTTGGTTAGACTTAGTGACCACTCTCTTCTACTCACTCACACTAGAGTAAATGCACACTGCTACAGCTGACGTTTTACCATGGGTGCTGGGGACCCAGCCTCAGCCACTTTTGCTTGCACAGTAAGCACTTGACTTGAGCTCACATGTGTTTAGGAGCCAGGAGCCACATGGAAGCCCCAAGAGTCATGGAAAGTTGTGAAGAACTCAAGAGGGTCTTGCCTTAGTCATGAGCAAAGTTATGAAACAAGAGATTCTTCCGTCAGCCAGCAAAGCTTAAACACAAGACATGGACGGTTTTAGCTGCTTCTCAAATGCTTCATGGTATCCCAGAATAAAAGTTATGGTTAACAAGAATTAAACAGACACCCAACAAGGTACAGTCTACAATGTTCTGAAGTAGCAGCATGACAGAAGTGTCACCAACACTTGGTGATTTGGATACAAAAGAAATATGGGACCCTTTGATGGAAGGACTGGGTCACGGGGGAGGGAGGGAAGTGAACTCCCTCCTGGAACTCCGTGGCCCAGGTACACAGACTTCCACATCCCACCGACTCTTGAAGCTACCAAGCATTTCTAGTAACTCTGAAGAGAAACATACCTTTTCCCCAATGCAGTGACCATGGCCTCAAAGGAGCTGTCATATCGGAGCAGAGGAAGACTGTGACCTGACAGGGTGGAGTCAATAAACTCAGACAGCCCGAAGTACTTCTTATTCTCATGATATAGGTCCACTCCCTAAACAGAAGAGCACTGTCACTTAAGTGTCACACTCACAGGGAAAGTTTGGGGATCACAGACCAGGTCTGTGGACAGTGTTGATTGGCAGGTGATCTAAACCAGCGGTTCTCAACCTGTGGGTCTCGACCCCTTTGGGGTTGGATGATGCTTCCACGGGGGTCACATATCAGATATCCTGCATATCAGACATTTACATTACAATTCATAACAGTAGCAAAATTGCAGTTATGAAGAAGCAATGAAATAACTTTATGGCTGGCTGTCACCACAACATGAGGAACTGCATTAAAGAGTCACAGTATTAGGAAGATTAAGAACCACTGATTCTAAACAGTGCTGATTCTGGAAACCCATGGGGGTGGGTACTTTGTAAGTATCATCCTGCAGGCCTAGAACAAAGAACAAAGATGGTGTGTTCCCACCAGTCATTTCCCATTCATTTGGCCCAATGTCTTCATGGCTGGGGATAACGAAGGGATGAACTCAACTTTATCTAACGTTGTCTTACACTGACATAAAATTCTTTCTAAAAGAACGCAGGAAACTCCTCCGACTGAACAAAGCTGGGACAGACTGTCCAAAATGCAAAGGTGTGATCCTGCTCTCAAACAGCAGAGATCGTGAACACTAGGAGGAGCCTGTCCCTGGGTCATCCAGGGGTCCTGTGCAAGTGGTCCAAACCTTTCTTCCCATTCTTGCCACTTGTAAATCAGAGGATCCTCTGGCCCTTTTGCATAAGTTCATGGGTATAAAGTACTTAGAGTGAAACCCATTGGAAGAGCCATACTGATTCTGGGGCTGGAGAGATGTCTCAGTGGTTAAGAGGACTGACTGCTCTTCCAGAGGTCCTGAGTTCAATTCCCAGCAACCACATGGTAGCTCACAACCATCTGTAATGGGATACGATGCCATCTTGTGGTGTGTCTGAAGACAGTGAAAAAGAAAAGAAATACTGATTCTGATGGCATGGGATGGAAGCCAAACATCCATATCCTTGGGAATTCACGGGAAGACTGAAGCATTCTGAAGAAATCCAGAACTCTAGGGAACTCATTCTTTGTGTGCCCAGCTAGAATCTAGCTACACAGAATTCTCAAATTACCAGAACTCTGGTCATCTACTTTCATAAATGATGACAGGTACCCAACTAAAACAAGCCTCCCAGGCTGGAAGGAGTGAGTTCTGTCTGAAGAATGCTTTGAACATGGCTGCATACCAAGCTACACCACATGGAGCCCAAATCTCTCCTATCTCCCAGGACTCCATCTTCAATGTCTTTATCCAGTGCCAGGAAAACAATCATTTGGAAAGTTCTGAGACTCAGAGCTTCAGTTCCTGGGGAAAATGTCAAATCAACTGTTCTGCCTACACATTTAAGATCGGACAACCATGGACAGGCTTTAGAAATTTCTCCAAAAAGCCAAGGGGGCTTTAAATCTAACCCTAGGCCAAACAAAAGATCCAAAAAGCTGAAATCCTCTCATTCCCAACTGACTAAGGCTTCTACTAAAGCCAGGGACCCTATACTTAAGCATACTGGTTACACCACGAAACGGCAGCACTCACATTACTGTAGGAGATGGGCCAGTGGATCTCATTGTAGGGGCTGATGAGGGTGTGCTGAGTCTGCAGTGCATATGGGAAAGAGGTCACATGGAGGGTCACAATGTTGGGAGCCTCTTTCACCTCTCGGCAGTTGAGCAGCCTGTCCACTAATCCCACAGATGGGTCACTTTGAGAGTAGATATTATGAACAGCACTGCTGAGGAGAGAAAAGGAAACAAGTGTTAAATAGAACTACTAACACTGTTGGAGAATCTTACCAGGGTAAGGCAGCTGATGAAGCTTACAACTAGTTCTCCAACAGCATCTACAATTGAAGCTTATTGCTCTGCCCATGACTAGGGAAAAAAAAGTGACTAGACTTGGTATTTGTCAGGATTCTCACAATCCTCAATACATACAGAAAATTGCTACCAGGGAAGGAGCTGTGGTGAACTTCTTGCATGACACTGTATGTAGTCTAGAACAATGATTCATACTCAGCCTCATTCTGTGTCAAGAGGCAACGGGGATGTGAGTGAGGAGGAGAGGAGTCTCAGGGGGCCCGATGAGCCTCCTAACGTCCTCCTGACGTACAGAGGATGTTGGCTGGTAGAATACTCATTTGCCTACCATGTGCAAAGCCCTCATTTGATCTTTAGCACAATGTAAAACAGGGCATGGTGGTGCACACATGTGATCCCAGCACCTGGCAGGTGGTGGCGGGAAGATTGGAAATTCAATCATCCTTGGTGATATACTGAGTTCAAGGATAGCTTAGGCTACAGGAGACCAGGTTTTGCCTCAAATAAAATAATAATAATAATAGTAATATCAATATCTACAAAGTCAAATAAAGTCCTACTGACTTAAGATGATTCAAAGATAAGCTAAGAGGACAAATTCTACATTTGTTTACAGGACAATATTAAAGGAATAGAAAGGCTTTTGGATCTGGGGTCTCAGAAGCCAGGCCTAGCCCAAGCTTTCCTTGTAGGACAATGGCCTCAGCACTTTCTTCAATCTAGGGGACAGAATAAAGAAGTCAGTGCTTCATCTTCTGGGTTCCAAGTAGCTAGCTACCTGAGACACCAAAAGAAAGAACCAAAAGACAATGGTTTCTATCACTTCCAGATGCTCCATTCCTCCAAAAACACACACAGATTCTACACTACAAACTGTCCTGGTCCTGGCAAGCTTAAACAGCTACAATCTATAAGGATCAAAGCCTTGCTCTAGGACCTGGTCCAGGAACTTCCTTCCTCACCTCCACCAGAGGTGATGGCTAGCTGGCCAGCTACAAGGGCAACTCCCTAAGGTAACCAGCCACCAGCAGTCTCCAACTGAGCAGCCTCACGCACGTCTAGGGTGAGATCCATTTCAAATGAGTAAAAGGTGGCTGCCCTTCAGGAAGGCCTGAACCAGCCACCACCCAGAGTCCTAGCAGGGAGGGCTTCACCCAACAGCTTCAGGCTGTAATTTGGAAGCCCTGGCTAAAGGCCTAGCTCTTCTACCAATACCTCCAATCTGGCTCCCAACTCCACCTGATGAAACACCCAGCACTTAGCACTTGGAGAATGCACTGTTTGGCCTCAGGGGTGACATACAGCTCTAAGACGCTGAAAATTCCCCCATATCCTCTGCTTTTAAGTACTGAGCCCCAGTACCTCACTCAAGTCTTGTGCCCTCATCCCCAAGGAGAAACATGTCACCGTCACAGACCAGGAGGTCTGACCTCACTAGATCCCAGTGGGCGTGGTCGTGGATGAGGACAAAGAGCGTATGTGGGTTCTGGAAGGAGCTTTGCAGAAAGGCCTTAAATCTTGCCTGGGCCTCCGTGTCTAGTTTCAGAACGTGTTGCTCCGCCCTCTGCTTGGTCACAGGCTCTTTCTCCAGGCCCAGCTCCAGCAGAACCCCTGCAACACAGCAGAACACCTCAGGAGCTCTTGGGTTCATTCACCACTGACACACTGTGGGTCAGCCTGTGTGGCCTGCCCTGATGGGAGAAGGCAACAGCAGAAGGGCATACAGTAGAGAAACGTGGGCAGGAGAGAATCTCCAAACTCTTCAGCCCAGATAGCTGGGCAAAGGTCTAGCTATGTGCATAGTTTCCCTCTCCCAGGGGTACCAGCTAAGCAAGCCCCTAAAGCAACAGCTTTCAAACAGGTAACACTAAGAGATGAGAAATGCCCAAGCTCCTGACAGTATTATCTCAGGTTATCATAGGCCCAACATCATGCCACTGAGGAGTGACAGTTAGCAGCAGCCAGTCACAGAACCGTAGAGAGAAATAGCAAAAAGCCAGCTATTGGTTCTACTTTTATTCCTGAGAAAAATCGCTGTTTCTGGATATGTTTCATGGTCTGTAAGGAATGGGCAACAATAACACTTGGTCCATCTACAGCAAAGCTGGCGACAGCATCCTTTCTGTGATGGATCAAAATCCCTCCCCCAGGCCTCAGACTTCCTTGAAGGGTCCCCCTACCTGAATGCCAGACATGGAACACAGTCTGCTGGTAGGTCACCTCTGACGGTGGAATGCAAATGAGAAAGTCCACCTTCTCAAAGGACCCCAAGTCTAGATTCTGGGTGCTGGAATCTGCGATTGAGCACACGTGGGAAAGGAGCTTCTGCGCCACCGCCAGCTGAAAGGGCCGGATGCCCCGTGGCTCCTGATGATAACCTGCAGCCAGAGCCCCAAGGGATGCCTGATGAGCACAGTGGGCAGCCAGCACCCTCAGCTAGAGATGGATGAGTCCCAGAACACAAGATGGGAGGCCTAGCCACACAAAGCAATCTGGGAAAGAGACACCATCATATTCAAGTGCATGCTCTCTCAGCCAGACCCTGAGGCATCCTCTCAGACATCCTCCTTCCTTGGATAATAAAGAGACAGCACTCAGGCAATGACACTAGACTGTGGAAGGAGTATCATGTTCCCCAGAAGGGAAAAGAAATGATCACAGCTCCTTAAATCCTCATCTGAATGAACGATCATAACAGCGCACTGGGGGAAGAAAATCGGCAGGAAGAAATATAAAGAAGGAGAGAACAACCTCACATCAACACCTCCCGTTTTAAAACTGGAAGTAGATTTGCTTTAATGCTAAGGATACAGCCTGCCTTCCAGGTGCCCCTTGGAAATTTCAAGGTCTCAACACTTCAGGACAAGTGCTGTAGAATTTAGACCCATGTGCTGAAGGCACCTGAGACTCCTCGCTCTACGACTCACTGTCCACACCTGTGCACGCTCTCACTCGCACTCACTGGGCACACTGATGCACAAGCCAACATTGCCTGTGCATACAACAGCCACTCCCTCTGTCACTCACACTACGCCCACCTGTGTCCTCTCCGTCCATCACTCACTGTGCCTACCTGTGCCCCTCCTCACCACTCACTTGTGCACACGGGAACCCCACTGGCATCCAGCACGGCTGTTTTCTTGGTAGAGGTAGCAGTGAATGAGGAAGAGACATGGCCTTGATTTTCCTGGTGAAATTTGTCCAGCAAAATGTCAATGTCACCTTCTGCCCAAAACAGAGAACAGAAGTGGGTTTTGCATCTCGGAGAAATTCAGCAAACCTCTCTGGAGCAGCTACTGTGTCTGGTCTTGGCCTGAAGCATGGGTCTTCCTGTCCAGAAACTATTTCCACAAGGTGGAGCATATATCATGACTCCACGAGGGATACGGCCAAACAGAACTAGGGTACTTAAGGTCAGAAGGGAAGGTCTTTTGAGCCTTCCCAGGTGAAGACTGGTCTATAGAGCTTTCTTAAAGAGCATTAAAGTACTCCTGAGGGACCAGAAGCTGGAGAGGGTGGAGGGTCTGGGTGACTGAATAAGCCACAGAGATGCCCACAAAGGGGCGCTAAACACGGGGAGAGCCGTGTGCTGAGGCCATCCCTGTAATCCCAGCATCTGAGACAATGAGATAGGGGTACTGAACATTTGAGGCAAGTCTAGGCCATAAAGGGAGACCCTGTCCCAAATAGAAAGACAGACAGACAGACAGACAGAC